GTCCTGATTTAGGTTTTGTTTTGCTGGGCCTGGTTAAGATTATGAAAATAATATTAAAAAGTAATTTAAAAGTAAACGAGAACAAATTTACTGAGTGACCTTTTGGCTTGCTGTCATGCTAACTGGAATTTACTCTGTTTGTAATGTCACGTTCTCTGAAATGTCCTACTGAAAGATTCCCTTGTAGTTCTGTGGAAAGGGCTCCTGATTGGGCTTCCAGTTTGGAAGGGAGTAGGAGGCACCTCTCACACAAAACATTTAGCCAGAAATAGACATCATGAGATACTTAGATGGAAGGAAAACCAGTACAGCGGAAAACTCATATATGGACAAACCCACATGCATCAGAAAGGGAATGTTAATTGTTGGCCTGCGTGTAAAAAGTGCTGTAATTGAACTGCTTTTTATGCCTTTCATGGTAATGTCTTAGTTCAGCCCACTTTCTTGCAATGAGTCGGGTTGTTGTGAGTATGTAAACTTGGTTAATGACACAGTTCACATGAGTGGATTAAACAAGGGTAATTGGATCGTACTGAGAAAAGATGTGTTAATTAAGCCAGGGACAATGTTAAAAACGTGTTTTATCTACAGGGGAACTACTGATTTCACTGGATATGTACAGGATCTTATACTGGTTACCCTTCTTGTTGAAGTACCAATCAAAACAAACTGGAAAGTGGAGATAGTAATAGTACAAACGCAGTGATCACAGAATTATCATGTGATGTGTCTAGTTAGCCAGAGTCACTGTCTGATATTCTTTCATAAAACGGAGTAAAAAGGGATAAATTGAAATGATGATTTATTTAATGGTAAATAAAATGTGAGAAATCATGTGACCACACTAAAGAGAACTACTTTCAAGGTTCTGTTATGTGGTGGGAAATGGACACAGTTGATAGTTTGGGGTTCTGATTTATGTACTGTGCTGCCCCACTGATGCTTGCCTACTTCACCAAAAATGGACCTGGTGGTCAAAACTTGATGCGTACCTCGAGAACTTCAAGCTTCAAGTGTGGCTCGGCTTGACCTGCCATCCTTCAAGGTGCATGGAAGACAACCATCAATATCCTTCTCTCAAGAGTCAAGAGTCAAGAGACAAGAGTCAAGAGGCTCTGCCCTGCTGGTGGAATGAACTTCCACTGACTGTCCGAACAGGAGACTCTCTCGCAGTCTTAAAATGCAAACTAAAGACCCCTCTCTTTGTGAAGTACTTGGTAAGTACTACTATTACACTATTCTAGCACTTACTGAAAGGTATTGTAGTGCACTTATGTTATGTTATGTTTTAACTCTGTATTTTGTATCTTTCTTCTCTAGGTTTCAGCACTAGCTTCTGTTTCTGGCAGTGTCTTAGCTCAATTGTAGTTTAGACTCTTAACCTATTTGTCCTAGCTAGGATATATTCTACAAGTGGTCAAACAAGCACTTGCTTAAGTCGCTCTGAATAAGAGCATCTGCTTAATGTAAACGTACCATACTACCCAGTGGAAAAATACCAAAAGTGGTCCATGAGTCGCACCAGCCCTCCTCCTCGAGTCAAACCAAATCTAACACAGCTAATCAAGCATTTCTGAAAGCAATAATCAGGTGGGGTGGCTTAGGCTTAATGCCTGGTTGGGGTCCAACGCCCTACCCTCATCATTCACCAGTGCTGTGACAGTCTCATGCAAACAGACTTCTTCTGCCATTCAAGGCTTAATTTTGCCACTCAATTTATGGTTACATTATGGAAGACTGTTTCCCATTTATTTGACGGCACATTATAATTCAGTCCAAGGCAGGAAGGATAAATTGCAAATTACAGGATGGCTTCTGCTTTAAAAAAAAGCTGCCCTAGCCACCTCAGATTCCTCCTTGCTGTCCACCAGGAATCATAGTCCATTTATCTGATATCCACAAGGAAAGAAAAGTATTTGAGGCAGTGATTTGTTTTTCCACCTGACTGGAGTACATTATAATGAGAACACAGATATAAAATTCAATGTTGATTAAGCATATGCTGTGCCAAAATTAAGGGTCATTGAGGTGTTTCTCAAAAGATGTGGAAAAAAAAAATAAGGTAGAGGTGAAGGTGTCTTCTTTCAGTGGAAAACCTCCAATATCCCTCATTGTAAAGCATAAAATATGACCAGTGTCTCTTGAGAAAAGCTGCTTGAACATCATAATGACCACTGTGAATCCAGTGCTGAGGATAAACATCAGAGAGAGTTCACATCTCCCACAAATTATTGGATTCCATTATATGCTGGGCAGGAAGAGATAAGGCTGTCAAGAAGAGTTTACAACTTCGGATGGCTTTGTTCACATCCGTCATGGTTTATGGACCCCACGCGACCAGCCTTTTGCCCAGTCTGCACCTCAACACCCACACACAGCCACTGAACATGCTGCATTTTTTAATTTATGATACATTCAGAGGCCATAAAACAGTCCTTTGGTGTTTGGATAATGAGTTTACATAGTCTGTGCTGGACTCTGTGAGAGGATCTTAGTCGAGAGCAGAATCCCTTTTTAAGATTTCTACCACAACTGTAATACACATCTGTAATATATCTGTATATATCTAGTTTACAGGTATGCATCACCATATTTGTGCATAGCCCATCTCCTCAAACTCTCAGTGAATGACAGTGTATTCCCCCTTCATACAATAAACACTTCACAATCACAATTTTCACTTTCTGTGCAAAAGCCAGAGACCACCTGGTAGACCACTGAAACTGCCAATGTCAGGTAAACAGTACTTGAAACTTCCGTTTTGAAAGAAAGGAGAAAATCCAGCTCCACTCTTGCTGCAGGTGTTTCTGTACATCTTTCCATTTAGGAGTGGGTGATATGGCAATATAATCAAATCACAATACTTTTCACAATAAATCCAGTTAAACAGGAGTAGTTATTAGGGATGTGTGTGTGTGTGTGTGTGTGTGTGCACGTGTGTGTGTAATAGACTAACATTATCTTTAACTGTAACTGACTGATGAAGGATTACTGAAAGCAGCCTAACTCAGATATTCAGGTAGGGGTTTCCAGTTGTGTTTTACACTGTTTGTATGTTGCTTTATCTGGTGTATTTGTGGCGTATCAGTGAAATACCCTAGGAAGAATTACAACTGGTATATCACTCACTACCACTCACTACCATGAAATACTGGTTTTACAGATTTTGCCATGACCATTTTTGCTGCTGCCTGTCAACCCACACTGCCAGCACCAAATATATAGCACCAAAAAAGCGTTCTTCTATTTTTACGATGCCAAGCCTGTAACAATATAAGGACCTTTTTTGGTGCTATAAAGAAACCTTTAAAAAAGGTTCTATACAGAACCATATAAAACAGAATCTCCATCAATCTGAAAAACCATTTTATGATGCAATGAACCCTTTAATCATGCAAAGGATTCTTTGTATGTTCATGGTTCTATATAGAACCATTTTCTTTACTAAAGAACTACTGAAAAACCTTCTTCAAGTGTGTAGAACACTGAAACTGGACATCGGAGACATGGAGTAAGGTTTTACGGACTAAGGAGCTTAAATTTATAATTGGGATTAGGTGGATCATAAGAAGCAGAAAATACAACCAAATTCTAAGACTGAACTTTGGAAGTGTGAGAAAATGCCCATTTATTTGAAAAATCAAAAGCAAGCCTTCTGAAAAGAATAGAAGCTGCAATAAAGGTAAAGGGTGGACATACTTAAATACTAAAAAAATATATTTAGTTGTTGATGCTTCTGTGTAACTATGTCAAATATGTTTTTAAAGCCAAATGAGAATAAATGAAAAATAAATTAAAATGTGGACCTGTACTGTAGTTTTTGCTTAAACTTTTAACTCAAAATCTTCCTTATGTAAATAACTGCCTCTGTTTAGTCGCTGTATGTAGTGAGTAGTGACAGTGACTAGTGGTTTGTCTAAACTTGGCATTTTCCTGCCCTTTTTATTCCAAACCTGAATAGTACCTGCACTAAACAAGCACTCCTCTTTCTCAGGAAAACGCTTTGCAGGTTTTCCCAGTGAGACGGCTTAACATGGACTAACCTGACATTTAAGTGCAAGCATGACCAAACAGGCAGTGAAGCTCCTAAATTCAATATTCTGATTTTTACTTCACTTTCATTCCTAAATAAATGTAAAAGTATCAAATATTTCAGAACAAACTGAGACGTCCCTGAGAATGTCACACCACTTTTCCTATTAGCATAGCTGAACCACAAACATACTAATTTGTCATCAGCTGTCTGGCTCATAACAGTTATTAAACACCTTGATTGCAGTCGTGGGGATCACTAACTGCACCACACTCCCCTCAGAGGAAGATCTCTGAGCTAGACCTGCATCATAATCATCTAATGGATCATTGCTTTACCTGCCTGTTAATGAGATGAGATGACATTAAGTGATGGGGAGTTTTAATACTCTTATCCTTAAGCCTATTTTAAGTTCATTAAACATGCATGAACGTAAACACACAAAAGGACAGCACAGCAAACATGAATACTGTGCTGCCCTCTAGTGTTACCATAGCAGCCTGCTGAGGTTGGCTAAAGACTGATGTAGTACTCTCTTAGTTATGGGTCCAACCAAGCCACCTATAGACGTTTGACTCAACATCAAGTTTATAACATAAATAAGTAGAGTTACATGAATGGAAAAAATTGGTTCACTTCAGACACTGCTACACCAATGTAACTCTGAACCCCTTCATTCATGTATTTTCCATTCAAAATGGCCATTAAGTACAAGTCACTCACTTTTCAGCACCAGAAAAAGAAAAACAGAAAACATATCATTAACAGAAAATTACACAGAAGCCTCAACAACTTCATGTAATGTCAAAATTTTCTCTACTTAGTGGGTCCATCCTTTGTCTTTATTACTGCTTCCATTCTTTTCAGTTCAGTTTTTCACAGAAATCTGCAGGAACATTTTAGCTTCAAAGTTCTTAGAAGTTGTTTGAATTTTCTGCTTCTCACAAAACAAGTAACCCCAAACACATTCAGTGACAATCACACAATCAGATCTGAAGCAAGAGTGGATCTTAATTTTCTCCTAACTCCATAAATAACTTTTGACAGGAAATGAAATAAACCAGGAATGTTCTCTGACTTGTGCAAAGTAGTATACACTGGGTGTCTACTGGAATAGTTACATTATAACCAATAGTCTAGTAGCGAAAGCTTCCTTATTAGACCAAACACCTTAACTAATACCCGGGTTATTTCATCCTAAAACGTATCATTCAGTAATAATGGACTATAGTGCAAACTGGCTAAGTAATTCTTAAGTGATAGAAATGTGTAATCAATATTTAGATCTGCTGGGGGATTCTGGCTATTAGAGCCCTATTCGAGCTGGATGTTTTAACAGAGGAAGCTCAGTAATGTAATTTGAACGTGATTTGACTGGCCAATTTGTAAGGAATAAAGGATCTGTGCAGGATTGTGTGGTGACTCCCATTATCAACAGCAATTCCAAATGATGGTGCATAATAAGAGCGTGCGGGAGGGAATTGTGATATCCACTGAATTGTGGATTTCAGCAGTCTGGTCATAAGGACGAGGATTAAGGAACTGGGTCTAATCAAGCTCCATTTTAGCGGTTAGTCGACTTCAGGTTGCAAAAAAAAACGGAGGTGCCATTTTCTGTTACCCGGTTTTATTATTACATTACTGTAATGTCAATTTTAACAGGACTACTATTACTGAGGGAGCTCTGCGTTCAGGGAATTTTAATTAAGGTAATTCACTCCAGAATAACTACACAGCAGACCTGATCATTTCATACATCCCTTAGACATCTACAGTCTCCTCAGATTGGGCTAGTCTTTCCTAGTACTGGAACTGGAACACCCCTGTATTGACCATTTTCCTGCTCCTAACTTGGCTTTGACCCAAAATGGCTCTGATCATTTTCCTGCTCCTAACACTTTTCAATCAATTATCATCAGCTAATTAACACGTAATTCAAGGGTGTGTTATAGCATGGGTACTCCAGGGTTGGGAAACGCAAGATTTCATTCTAACTTAAAATGTGAAATCCTAAACCCCTACAGCAAGTAGTCACTTCTCTATGCAATGAAGCCTGAAGAGAATCAAACTCTTTCATTTTCACATTTAATAATATGAATGATTTGGTGAGGGGCATCATCACACCAAACAAAAAAAACTTAAGCATTGGGGAGAAAACCTTACGCTTACTAAAGACTTTCCAGAACAGTTTTAGTACAGGCTGTTTAAAGAAACAGAGACCGAAAGGAGAAACATCACTTCAAATAGAAAACAAACAGGGTTTTAAAGAGGAACTCCTCTGATTTTTTTACATTTTTGCATAATTCAGCTGTTGAGATGTAACACCATTCAGAGTGGTTTGGTGTGAAGTGGTGCATTGTAGAGACACTTACAGACTGATTTCTTTACAGTGATGGTGAAAGAAACCATGGGTCACAATGTCTACAAAGCAAAAATAGCCAGTTTATTTACTATACAAAATAATCAGTGAACCTACACGTCTTCTAAGCTTTATATGTAATGTTGATGAAGGTAAAATAGCGGTAAATCTGTAAAAGTAAGTTTTCTTTGAGGACTATTATTCCTTACAGTGCCCTGTATCTGTCTCTCCGTCATGAATGGATACATTTTAGGCCAAAACCTTAAAACTCAAAACTACCGTAAACTAACATCTCCGGCATCAAGCAGTGTAGTTGTAGCCATTTCATGTAATAACTGAGGTAACCTTTGGATGAATTAATCGCTTCTGGTTCCTATCAACCCCACTGTGAACAATTCTGACTCTAAGTTTCTCTACAGTGGAGCATTTCACATCAAGCCACTCTGAACAACTTTAACATCCTGCCTGGATTTTGCAGAAATTGTGAGAAAAAATGGTCTGAATTCCCCTTCAACACACACACAGTTCTTATTTTCGTCTCTTCCACTGTTTTACCTCTGACAAGTCTTTCATCAAGTAAGAGTGCGTGTGAATGTGGGTCATTAGCTGACTTCTTTGCACGAAACCTTTCTGACATATTGAGCAAATGAAGGGCTTCTCCCCCGTGTGAATTCTCTCGTGGTCCTTCACATGACTTTTCTGACCAAAACCCTTCCCACAGAACCGGCAACAATACGGCCTCTCCCTCGTGTGATTGTTTATGTGACTCTCAAGTGTCTGCGCAAGTTTGAAACGCTTTCCGCAAACACCACAGACGTGTCGTTCCTCATTTTTGTGACTCGCCATATGCTTCTCCAGCCATAAGTACGTTTTGAAAGGTTTGTTACAAACCTTACAGTAAAACAGACTGTCTGCGAGGTCATTTTGTGTCTGTGATGGACGATCAGGCAACGCATTAAGAAGTGTGTAACCTGAGCTCGGGTCATCCTCATCAACTTCAAAGTATCCGGCGCTTTCTTGTTCCCGCTGCGCTGCGGATGAATCAGAGTTTTCCGTGCAGGTGGCTTGGGAGTCACACAGCTCTGCTTTAACAGGGACTGGATCCACATGCAGACTAGTGCACTCTTTCTCCTCTGTATCCATAGACTTAACAGGGAGACAGGGAAGTGGCTCTTGGTTGAGCGCTATGTCCATGTGAGTTGTTGTGCATGGTGCAACAGTTATTGGCTGTTGTGGCTCCAGTTCCTGCTGTACAGTGCAAAGCTCCAACTTCACTTGTATCATGGGCTCAGAGTCTGGTAGCCCTTGGTTGGTCTGGCTCTCATCTGCATGACAGGGTTGTATATCTGTGAGAATTGAGGAAAACATTGAAACCACCACAAATCAATGCAACACCTCTGCATATGCTGTTCATTTTCGAAAGAATCAAATAGCAGATTTAGAGTCCTCTATTCTAACCCTCAGAAAACACAGAATTTACTGATCAGCATGCAGGTAGAGTGAGCATAGCTGTGACACATTAAAGGGGAATTAAAAATGATCTGGATTTCGACATTGGATTTTGGCAAAATTAAATTATTAAAATGTAACCAAAATTATTCAGAGTAGTTCGATGTGAAATGCTTCATTCTAGAAAAACTTATCAAGACAGAATTGTCCACTTTGGAGGTGATAGGAACCAGACATCTGAAGAGATTACTGTCTCTTAAAGCTCCCTCACAGAAGGTTATAAGGCAAAATGGTTATGAATTTGCTGCCTGATGGCGGTTTAGAGTTGTAAATAAAACGTCTGTATCTGCATTGTAGACATGGCGACCCTTGGCTCCTATCATCACCACTGTAAAGAAATCTGAGTCTGTAAGTTTCTCTACAATCTTTAAATTTAACTGGACTTCCCCTTTAAGTATTTTCTTTGCTTCACTAACTTTAAATGCTACATTTGTACTGCATATGCATGACATCATCCTCTTTGAGCATAAGAACTTTCAAATACGTACACATCTCTTCTACAAAGATACCGGCAAAAGTCTACTACCTTGCTTTTGGTTTAGATAGAGTCACATGCTGATTTAACTGTGAAATAAAACATATTACAACGTGATCAGCGGAGAACAGTTGTAAAAGTATTACAGATGCAAATTACAACATCAGATACTCTTAATTCCAGAGTTAACTATCATGTTCATTTAATAGTTTTAGGCAAAGATGAAACATTCAACGACATGTTGAATTATTTGTTGTTTATTGTTGCTGTTTTTTGCAATTGTGCCTAATGTTGTTACTACTCATCTTATGAACTTATGAATTACTTTCAATTTTATTTATCAACAATCTTATTTATTTTATTCTATTTGCATTTGAACACTTTACTATTCAATTTTATTTATTTCATTAACATTTTACTGTTTTACCATAAACAATTTATTTAGTGTAGTACTTCATTATTTAATTTCTGTTGTTTCTAGTTCTAGTTATCTTTTAGTATTTACCTTTTATCATCTTAACTACCCATCTTTATTGTTGTCTTATTTAATTTGGTGTGTTTTTATCTCTAAATCCATTTTAACATCTTTCATTTGTCAATCGCTAGTAAAGCATTTTGCATTGCAATTTGAGTTGTTTGAAAGGTGCTATGTAAATAAAGTCTGATTGACAGAAAAAAAGAAAGGCACACAAACAAACAAACAAAAAGTACAAAAAACAAATGAAAGAAAATACACAATAATAAAATATCTCTCTTTTGGGAAAAAAATGTAAAAAATCTTACACAATTCATAACAAACAAGTGGGCACTACGAGACCAGATGATCATAAAAATTCATAAATAGTTAGATTTCACTCCCATTATTATTGTGTGGGCTAGCTTTAAATCTATTGTTTATTTTTATTATTATTCTCTTACATCGTTTTCAATTTAATTTGAAATATCTTCCTGTTTTCTTACTCGTAAAGCACTTTGAATGACCGGGTGTATGAAAGGTCCTAGCTATATAAATAAACTTGCCTTGCCTTACACACTTACTGTGGAACCTATGAACTGTGTACGTTTCTGACTCTCACTTTATTTCGCAGACGGATAAACGAAACTTATCACATAGGTTTCTTTTATTTTCACCTACAGACGTTGTGTGATGTTAGTGCATGAAGCAAACAAAAAAAACTGCAGCTGTACTCGGTCTATACGTTAGCCTTGCTATGTCTTCTGAGCCCTTAGCCACATTGCTAACTAACCCCAGCTCGTTACCTCTCCGGTCTTCTCCACTGCTGTTGATGCTCACCAGCATGTCCCTCAGGTAGCGATTCTCTTGTTTTGCCCGCTCTATTTCCTCTTGATATTCAGAAATCGTGTCTTTAACTACCTGAAATATCTCATCAGCTGCTGCAATTAAACGCTCTGTGAAAAAGCCATTCAAAAACTCCAGTTTTTCCATTGTAAATAAACTCCTCAGTTTACCGATAAAATCCCTTTCCTGGCCGAAATAAGCATCTAAAACTTTGATATGAAACAGTTTGACAAATTTTACTTTAAACACAGGACCATAAACAAGAAAACCCTTCCAAACGGTGTGAATGAACTTCCGGTCGCAGTGGGTTGTACATTTCAAAATACCAGTAAGACTAAAACGTACTGGTTTTTCTTACAAAGCCGTTTAAAGATTAAAATAAATTTACGAAACTAAATGATAATATTTGAGGTGTTAAAAAAACACCGTCATCACAGTCGCTCTGTATTGTGGTGAATATGATAATTAAAATCAGTATAATAATAATAATAAAACACCACGGTTTATTTTGTACACTTGCCGACATTTATTTCTATTTTTTCGTTATTGCTATGTTATGTTTTATTTCCTTTTTTAAGGTTTGTATGTCTGTTTTTTTCTCCACTGTGCTTAAACTATTCGTGTCTCTGGGACTACAGTTGGCTAACACTCGCACATCTACTTTACGTTAATTAATGTTGTTCCTGATTAATTGATTAAAAAAATAAATAATAAATAAATAAATAAATAAATGTAATCGAAGATGAAGTACAGAATAATAAAACCACTACCCTTACCCATAAAAATACCGACAGAGAAAGGGCTTTTATTTTGCATTGTTTGTGCATATAACGTCTAAGTATCTCAACGTTACGTTTGGAGATGGTCTAAACTGAGACCACTATTACCCATAATCACAGATAACCTAACACTTGAGGACTTAATGTACCTCATGAATTTAAAATAAAAAAAAATACAGTAGTTTTCTTTTGATTTGTATATTTGGCCCATGAAGGGTGGGTTTTTTGGCTCTCTGTAAAGGGGCAGTTTCTCTGGGCTTGAAATTTCTAAAGTTAAGTGGGATTTTATTGCTCAAAGTGAAAAACATTCATGAGGATGGACTGCATCTTAATGCAATGTCAGACAGGATCATAACTTAAAATAAAACTGTGGTTTAACACATAGGGATTAAGCAAAGCCCAAGACTAAACAATACTGTTACGGCAGGCCTAATTTAAGAACGCTTCAGCCACGTCTAACTCAGATAGGTGCAAATACTAATAAGTTCCATTCTAATAAGTTGAAACATCAAAAGCAAGGCTGCCCAAACGGTGGCCCACATCTGATTTGGTCCACCAGGAAGTTAACCTAACCTCAAACCCTCACCCAAAGAGAGAATGAGCACATTTTTAAACACTATATATAAAACTCACTCAATTATGAAATTGTATTTTTAAAGTATTTTAGTAACAAAATATAGAATATCAAATGTACTATAAAATACATTTTAAAAACCTACTGACTTATTTGCAAACTGTTTGTCTTTGTGGTCCTCCGTCCACCAAAATCATTGGGCCTCATTAAACAACCGTTCCAAAAAAGAAATATCTTCTTACAACCCACTTACGCAATTTTCACTAAGATTCTGACATTCATCAGTGTTTTCTTATTTGGAATCTGTTCTTAGGTAAGAACAGAATCTACACACTTAAGAGCACAAAGGAACAAACAGTTTTGCGGTTTAAGAACAAGTCATGAACCTGACAGACTTTTTCTTAAGACCTTTCTCAAGAACAAATTTGAGGAAAAGATATTGGTGAATAAGGCCCAATGTAGTTTGGCACCCTCAAGACAAATATTTGGAAAGGCCCTACAACAATATGAACATATATATTTTATGTTACAAAACTTATTAAACAACAGAAAGCACAAATAAGAGCAATTACACCGATAGAAAATAAGTCTGTTTTAATAAAACTCATATGATGAAAAACGTTTTTCCCCCATTTCAGGCTAAAAACAAAACAATGGCAGAAAACCCATCAAATACTTGTCGTGTTCTGGATCAGATTGAGAATTTAACTCTGTAGACTGTTCCTCTAAAGAAGCAACCATGTCCTTTACCAGCATCACATTTAAAACTTTCAATATACCAAATACTTAAAAATGAATTCATCAGTTTCTTATCACACAACAAATTTATGGTCAGTTTTTAGTCAATGTGCTAAGATCAGTCTTAAAATCCTTCCAGGCAATTTTGGTGTCTTGAAGTCTAGCGTGATTTGAATGACAAACGTCGACTGTTGAAACATCTCATTCACTTTTTGTTGTTTCCGATGTCTGCTATTTATCCTGATGATGATTGCGAATATGCGCCCTGACATGATTGAACTGAGTGAAGCGTTTCCCACATATTGAGCAGCCAAAAGGTTTTTCACCTGTATGGATCCTCTCGTGCTCCTTCAGATGACCTTTCTGATTGAATCCCTTACTGCAAAACTTGCAACGGAAGGGCCTTATTTTCTGGTGCACAAGCATATGGTTTTTCCAGGTCACACGATGATTGAAATGCTTGCCACAGATCTGGCACTGCAAAGGGCCCATCGCATTTTTGTGACATTCCATGTGAGATGCTAGCTGAGAAAAATCACCAAAAGATGCGTCACAATAGGGACAAGAATGAATATCTTCCTGTTTTATACCCGCCACACGTCCACCTTTTGCAGTTTGGTTTCTCACTGCACTTGAGTTCAGGTTTTCGGAGCGGAGCAGGGCATCACAAGGTACCAAGTTGATTGAGATATAGGAGTTCATCTGTAGACCTTCACTCTCTTTTGTTTTTGGAGGCAAGCACAGAGGTTTTTTCTGAATGTCAGTTGACTTTGCAGAGGAAGAGCTGCTGCATGTCGAGGCATTGCTCAATAGCTGTGGCTCTGCGTCCTGCTGAAGGGCGCAAAGCTCCAGTTTCACCTGAATTAATGAAGACTCTGAACTCAGCGGTTCGTTTTGGGATGGCTGCTGTTCAGTACAAAGTCCTTCTGGATGGCTGGCCTGAGCGTCTAAAGGAAAAACAGTACAGGATTAGAACCCAGCACAGACTGAACATGTCTGCAAGGACCTTTTCTACAACAAAGCCACCACACTAACCTGTCTTCAGTGAGCCTTCAAGAACAACTGTACATTGGGCTCCAAACATGTACAAATCTCAGAGGTCATTCCTGTAGCACTGTGCCAATCAGGAGTTAGCAGTGAACTAATCAAGAAAGTGTTTAGCATCAGCAGTGAAACCAACATGTTCTTTTTGTTTGGTCTTGCCTGCCACCTGGTGGTATTTCTCAAGTGAGTTTACACACAAAATAGGTCACCAGTAAAAACTTTTGCCTGATTCTGCAATTAAAATTAAATAAATAATATATTAAACAGTTAAATTAATTTAGCTGCTTTCGGAACAAAACTTTGTATCTCCAAAATGATAACTTTACAGGGGAAGGAAAAACATACTTCACATACGTTAAAGTCTTTAACCAAACTTTTTTGAAAGTTATTTTGAGCCTTTTCTTTTGGTCCATTCATCATGTAAAGAGAAACAAGCATTTTAGCAATTTATGTTCACAGTGTTTATAATAGGAATCAGACATCTGAAGAGATTAATGCCTTTAAAAGCAATCTTACAAAGTTATTAAAGAAAATCGTAATGAAAGAAAATATTGCCTGAGACATTATTTTATAACATTTTAAGTAAAAGCCTGACTAAATGTATCTTTAGTAAATGCAGGGTGTAATAAGGCTCAATGTTAAAATGACTACATTTGTGCTGTACACATCGCCATTCCTGTTTCCTATCACCACCAAAGTTGGTAAGTTTGTCTACATTGAACCATTTCACAGAACACTCTGAATGACTTTGTTTACATCTGAACGATTTAAATCATGTTGAAATTAGACAATTCTGAATAAAACTTCAATAAAACTGATCTTTAATTGTTGTTACAATGGAGCTCTGGTATTATCCTTACGCTGCTTTTGCAGCCTTTCCTACAAAGCCTGACTGACTCAGCACAATGAGTTGCATGGTTTTCCTTGAAAATGTAGAGTAAAAGTACGGAGCCCCATAGAGGCCGAGGTTAAAAAGAGAAGTAAATATCCCTGCTTTTGCAAGGGAACGCAAAATATTTGCTGTTGCAATTTTTTTGCAATGACACTTTAACGGCTCAGTATAAACATAATGGAAGTGTTGCCTGAATAACAAATATTAAGTGGTAAAATATGTAACACAGGATACAAGGAACAGGCGAATCCCTTAGGTGAGCTAGCTATCCTAAGTTAGCAAACATGTTTATCCTACCTGTTTCCTTGTTGAGGCTCGCTTCAGCCAGCTCTTTCCTTAGGATACAGATCTCCTCTCTGGCGCGTTTTAATTCGTCCTGTTGTTCGCAAACGATGTCCTGAACAGCCTCAAAGATTTCTTCAGCCACGCCGATCAGTCGTTCCCTCAGGAACGAATTAAATGCGTCTAATTTCGTCATTTTGCCCGTAGCTGTGCTTTGCAGTAGCAGAAACTCACGTTACCACCGCCAAACTTCTCCTTTAGCTCCGAGTTCTAAACATGGCGATATTCACAAGGACGCCACTTGTGAAATAGCGCCGCTTAACGACTGGAGTTTGTTCAGCACCCGCGAGTCCGAGCGGAATTCCACTGATTTTCCAATGTTGGGATTAATTACATGATTTGAGGGGAATTCCACCGAAATTTTCTGCATGATTAACACGTTAAACAAAGTCATTCAGAACGGTCTGTTCTAGAGAAACATATCGAGTCAACCAGACATCCAAATTGTTTAAAGGGAAACCCCACAAATGTTTCAAAATGTATACTTAAAAAGATGTAAACAAAGTCGTTCAGAGTGGATTGTTGTGAAACGGTCCGTTCTAGAGAAACTTTCGTAGTCAGAACTGCTCACAGTGGTGGTGATGGGAACCAGACGTCTGAAGAATTTAATACCTCTAAAAGCTCCCTCACAAAGTTATTACACAAAATTATGAATGCGCTGGGAAAAGCTCTGTTCTGGAAAGTAAATAAAATAGCTATATTTGTGTTGTAAACATTGTGACATCTGGTTCCTATCACCACCACTGTGAAGATTCAGTAAGTTTCTCTTCAGGTAACCATTCATTCAAATTCACATTAAACCACTCTAACTTTGTCTACATCTCAACCATTGAATTATGAACAAATTCTGAGAAATCAGTGGACCAGTTTAAGATGTACACAAAATCATTTAAAGTAGTTTGATGTGAAATGCTCTGTTCTATGGAAAACTTATGAAGTCAGAGACCTGTTCACAGTGGTGGTGAGAGGGGGCAGACATCTAAAGAGTTTCATACCTATAAAAGCACCCTCAAATGTATTGCACAAAATGGTTAGGAATATACCAGGAAAAAATCAGAAGACACATGTAGGTTCATGACTGGTTTTGGAAAGCAAATAAAATGGCTACATTTGTGTTGTAGATATTGTGACCCCTGGATGCCATCACTACCACTGCAAAGATTCAGTATGTTTCTCTAATTTTACATAAAACCAATTTGAATGACTTTTACATCTCAACGACTGAAATTTGACAAATCCGTGGATTTGTCCTGTAAATCTGAGTAACATAAGTGAACCAATAACGTAAAAATGTTATTAATTTAAAATGTATAATTGTGTAAAATGGTTAGGAGAGCAAAGTAGGCTATGGAACAATGTTTAAATGTTTTGGGTTATTAACACATTAATATTTCTTGCAATTATTTTTTGAATAATTATGGAATTCCAGTTAATAATGGACAATCCAGTACGGTCACCCCATATCATTACTACCATTCAAAAGGATGGAATTGATGTTTTCAACAATATAAAACAAATCTGGTTGCAGATAAACGGTGCAACTTAAGGGGTTTGAATAATTAAGAGCAGTTAAATTTACCAAAAAAGTCTGCATAGCACCAAGAATGAAGTTGCAATGAATTAATATGAAACAGAAATATTTTAGAATGTTTGAGACAAATGAACAAAAACACTGTAAACAGATAATTACAGCACAATATCATTCAATAATGTCTAGTTCCCCAACTATAATTAAATAAAAAAACATGTAAAATACCTTTGAGTGTGCAGTAACTGTAATATATTGTCACGGTTGGAAATTTCCTTGAATTTCCCATTTATTTATTTGTTTGTTTGTAGGTTTGCTTGCTTAAACAGCATGTGAAGTTTTGTAAAATATATCACCATTTTGAATTTGATGCCAACAACAAGTTCCAAAAAGTTGGGATGGGGCAACAAAAGGCTGATAAAGTTGTGTAATGCTGAAAAAAAAAACACCTGGTGGTTAATTGGTAACAGGTCAATAACATGATTGGGTATAAAAAAAGGCTGAGTCTTTCAGAAGCAAAGATGAGGAGGGGTTCACAACTCTCTGAAAGACTGCACAATCAAATAGTGCAACGATTCAAGAATAACGTTTCTCAACGTAAAATAGCAAAGAACTTGGCGATTTCATCATCTTCGGTACATAATAACATTGAAAGATTCAGAGAATCTGGAGAAATCTCTGTATGCAAGGGACAAGGCCAAAAACCAGTATTTGCTGGCAATGATTTTTGGGCCCTCAGGTGGCACTGCATTAAAAACAAACATGATTCTGTAGTGGAAATGTAATTCCTGCATGGGCTCAGAAACACTTCTGAAAACCACTGTCTGTGAAAACAGTTCCATCACTGCATCCAAAAATGCAAGTTAAAACTCTAAAACGCAAAAAAGAAACCAAATATAAACAGGATCCAGAAACCCCGCCACCTTCTCTGGGCCCCAAGCTCATTTAAAATGGACTGAGGGGAAGTGGAAAAGTGTCCCGTGGTCCAATGAATCAATATTTGAAATTGTTTTTGGAAATCATGGACACTGTGTCCTCCAGGCGCTCAGCTTGTTATCAGTGCACAGTTCAAAAGCCAGTATTCAAGATGGTATAGAGGTGCATTAGTGCACATGGCATGGGTGACGTGCACATCTGTGAAGGCACCATTAATGCAGAACGATATATACATGTTTTGGCAACATATGCTGCATCCAGACGTTGTTTTCAGGGAAAAATTTATTTTGCTTATTTAAGCAAGACAATGTCAAACCACATTCTGCACGTATTACAGCAGCATTGCTCTGTATTAAAAGAGTCAGGGTGCTAAACTGGCCTGCTTGCAGTCCAGACCTGTCACCACTGAAAACATTTGGTGCATTATGAAATAAAAAAATACGACAAAGGAGACCCTGAACTGATGAACAGCTGAAATCCTGAATCAAGCAAGAATGGGAAAGCATTTCACTTTCAAAACTACAGCAGTTGCGTCTCCTCAGTTCCCAAACGCTTACAGAGCTTTGTTAAAAGAAGAGGTGATGAAACACAGTGGTAAACATGCCCCAACTTTTTTGTAATGTGTTACAAAATGTATTTGTGGCATCAAATTCAAAATGGGCATATATTTTTCAAAAAACAATAAAAGTTCTCAGTTTCAACATCTGATATTTTGTCTTTGTAGTATTTTCTTTTAAAAATATGGTTTACATGATTTGCATATCATTGCATTCTATTTTTATTTACATTCTGCAGAGTGTCCCAACTTTTTTGTAAACGGGGTTGTATATATATATACATACAGTGCCCTCCACCAATATTGCCACCCAATAAAAACTGAAAAATCTTTTTCTCAAATCTATGTTGAATCTATGTTGAATTGTTGGCACCCCTTCGTTTAATACTTTGTGCAGCTCACTTTGCAAAGATAACAGCTCTGAGTCTTCTCCTGTCAAACTTCATGAGACTTGAGAACACATGGCAAAGAATCTGAGACCGTTCCTCCATACAGAACCTCTCCAGAATTTTCAGATTCTGGGGTCCACACTGTGGACTCTCCTCTTCAGCTCATTCCACAGGTGTTCTATGGGGTTTAGGTCAGAGGACTGGGGTGGCAAAAACTTAATTCTGTGGTCAGATCGCTGTCCTGCAAGAACATCTAACTATGGCCCAGTTAAAGCTTCCACACACATACATACATATATATATACACACACACACACACACACACACACACACACATGGTAGACAAAGCTTATAATGTATATGCTGTAATCCATATTTGGTCTGATGATTATAAACCTTTATTGTTTATTGGTGTGCTCATGTCATCTTTCAAGTTTCCAAAAAAAATTCTGAACACTTTTAAAGGCCCAACTTCAAAAGGAGAGAATCCCTGACACAGACCAAATTAACACTCTCAATTTCACATTTATACTATAGATTTCTTAATAACTGTAGCTAACTGCCCACGATGATGATTCTGAATGTGCACCTTGACCTGGTTTGTCCAAATAAAACACATTCCACATGCCGAGCAGCTGTAACGCTTATCTCCCGTGTGGGTCCTCTCATGGTCCTTCAAATGACTTTTCTTTTTGTACATTTTGCCACATGACTCACACTGAAAGGGTCTCTCTGTGGAATGGGTTTTGAGATGGACTCTAAGCACATGGGCATCACCATAGCTCTTTCCACACAAGTCACAGTGATACGGCCTTTCTTTGTGACACTTAATCATGTGTTTCTTCAATAACCAGGCACTTCTTAATGGTTTATCACATACAGCACACCTGAACGCTTTCTCAGGTAAATGGCTTTGCGAGTGTGCTGCTACACTGGAGAGATCATTGCATATTTGGTTACAGTGAGGACTGGGACAGATCCCTGACTCAGATTCCATAGAATCCAGGTGATGGCCACTCTGAATCTGAGTCGAGGACAACTGTTGCACTTGGGAGTCGTATGGCTCTAACTTGATTGCGATAGAGGAGTTCCCGCGTAGACAGTTGTCTATTCTTCCCTCCTTGTCCAAAGCCTTAAATGAAACAGACCGATGTGGCTCCTGGTTACCAGCGTGGTTTTCTTTGCTCAAGTGCTGTGGAGGCCCATTTTCATCTTGTAAGGTGGCGAGCTCAAGCTTCACTTGTATTAATGAGGGCTCTGGGTCCTGTGGGCCCTGGCTGCTGTTTTGCTGTTCAAGAAGTACTCCATCTGCATGGCTAGTCCATGTGTCTGAAGGGTATATGAGGATAGACAAAATAATAGAAACATGAAATGAAAAATAAATCAACCCTTGAAATAAGTAAAGCAGCCCATTTCTTATTTATGTTAAGAATTACAACCAGTGTTTTGTCAAAAGAAAAAAAAATCTGAAAAACAACATTTTAATATGTAACTTGAGATGCACAATCAGTTCTACAATAACTGGCCCTCATAATAAAGATAAATAAAACAGATGGCTGTAATATAAAGAAACAAATGCAAAATGCACAATTTTTCACACAACAGTGTTTCTCAAACAAACAAAAAACCCTTTAATAAGGCTGGAAGACATCTTTAAACTTTTCTCCTTAGGGAGTCCACATCTCGCACACAAGTGTCCGCGTGCAACGGCTTTCTTCTCATTTTAGACCACAGGTTCCAAGACTAAAATTCATTTTGTTTCCTTTTTTAATTTTGATTTTTTGGTTTTCATTATGTTTTAAGACCTTCAGAATGGCCTTACTATTTTTGTGCATCACCTGCACCTGCATATTAGACACTGAAATACAAAGAGGTATTCCTAGAGTCTGGAATGTGTTTAAAAAGAATTTCACCAATTTTTGCTAAATTAAAACATTACGACACAAACAATGTCTTTCAGAGTAGTTTATTTCTAGAGAAACTTACTAAGTCACAATGGTGATAGGAACCAGACGTCTGAAGTATTTTATACCTCTAAATGCTCCTGCATAAAAAAGTATGGTTAAAAATATGGTTTGTTTTCGGCCAAAAACTTTTTTTTAAGCAGTGGAGAGGTATATGTAGGTAACTACAAGCCAAAATAGTAAATAAAGAAAACGTTTATTTCTACATTACATATTTTTAAAAAATTAAAACGCATGTTGGTTCACTGATCATTTTTGACAGTAAGTAAAACAACTATATTTGGGGTGAACATCTACATATCTGCCAACCCCTGGTTACCATCAACACCACTGTGAAGAAAGTTAATTTACAATGGACCATTTCACCATTGCATCAAACCACTCTGAAAGAATTTGTTTACATCTCAACAGTTGAATTATACAATGATTTGGCAAAATTGGTGAAATTCCCTATTATGCCTAGAACAAAATAATAAACTACCAATGGTACAAAAAAGCTTAGAAAGGCCCAAATCCTGTTTGCAGACCAAGCACAGATTTGAGTATCAAATACTTTTAACTTTATCTGAAATTTAAATGCTCTCTCTATTTGCCTGATCCAAAATAATTTAACTTATGTGCACAAAACATTTTATACAATTCCTACTTGCCCATCCTTGTTCACTCTCTTTTTGCTGACTGACAGTCACTGAACTGGGCAATAAGTGCTTGGCTAAAAACTTAAAAAATAGTCCACTGTAAACTGAGAGAATGGCTAGTGCTTTATTTCAAATGACCTCACATTCTTGTTTTCGAGTGCCCTGATTTGAACCATCTCAATTTCTTGCCCTTCTAATAACTGCAGCTGATTGCGATGCTGATTGCGAATATGTGACTTGAGGGGAGTCGACTGAATAAAACCTTTTCCGCAAATCGGACAGGTATAGGGTTTTTCTCCCGTGTGAATCCTCTCATGCTCATTACAGTGGCCTTTTTGAATGAAGGCCTTCCCACAGAATTTGCAGCAATATGGTTTTTCACCTGTGTGAGTTCTGAGGTGGATTGTAAGGGAATGTGGATGCCTATAACATTTCCCACACAGCTTGCAGCGATAGGATTTACCTTTTTCACGCAAATCCTTCTTATGTTGCAACACGCAAACGCAGTTTGTGAAAGGCCTACCACAAACCTTACAGTCAGCCAATCTGTCTGCATGACTCTGCAGGTGTAATGTTAGATAAGACAAATCAACAAATGCTTCTTCACAATGAGGACAAACACAGGGGCCTTGCTTAACCTGTATAAGTCCCATCTGATCACTACTTGGGCCGACCATTTGCACTGCGACTGAGTTCAAGGTGTCAGAGTGTGTGAGTTGGGAGTCACAGTGTTCTAATTTGACAGCGATCATCTCGTTCATATGCAAGCCATCATCTTCGTTTTTCTCAACCATAACTGGAGTACCTGATAAACACTTAAACTCCTCACCATGGACACTCTTTGCACAAGGAGAAGTGCTTGTAGAGGCATCATTCAGTGGCAGCTGTGGCTCAGCTTCTTGCTTTATGGTGGCAAGCTCCAGCTTCAGCTGCAATACTGAAGGATCCGAGTTCAGGGGTCTTTGGTTGGAGTCTTGTTCAAGAGGAGCTCCACCAGCACGACTGGGTCGTACATCTTAAGTTGAACACAGAATTATGTATGAGTGAACACAAAGGAAAGGTGTACTGATACTTCATCACACAGATATATTATCATATCAGTATTTTTGGAGATCATGACAACTTATTCTGACAGAGAAAAACAGTGTAAGACAACCAGAGATGCACCAATATGGGAACTGTGGGCCCATGCTGATCATTTTCATTTATACGTATCTGCACACGTCAGTACTTATACACATACAGGTAGTGACACCTACTGCGCTGTACACAGGGTTGCAAATGAAATGTATAACTTCTGACCAGACCTACCAATATTTCTTTCTGTCAGATTACAAACAGTAAAATGAATAAGCAGATATCGCCGCTGTCCATTTTTGTTGTTTGTCATGTTTTCACAACAGCAGCTGCCCTTCACAGTGTCAAAGTTTCATAATGAATAATAGAACAGAAATGATCCAAAATGACTAAGAATAAGATGCTGTTCCATTAACTGCCATTCAAAGATGTTTATTCCTGCCACTGTAGAGTGTTTTTGGAGATTCGACATCTATATGTGGTATTTATGGAAATGGTCAAGGCTTGACAAGGATGAAGCTGGATTGCTATTCGCCAGCTTCTTCTTAGAATTTTCCCATTCCACCTTAAATTTTGCAGCAGTGCAGTCAGTATCATCATTAGATACGAAAGATTCGAATAGGAGTCTTAAGGTGGCACGGGACAATCTAAAAAGAGCCTGGAGAATGGGAAACCAGCCTCAGAAAGCAGTGCGAGTTTACACTTCCTGAGTTTTTGGGTCAGCTAGCTATCTAGCTCCAGACATATAAATGAGAAACTCGAGCAGGTTTTCTCGACCCAGACATGTGTGGTTACATCACAACCATCACGGGGGAGTTGATGGTGCTTTTGTTGATCAAACAGCTTCCTAGTTTTCTAGAACTGAAGTACTCAGGCTTTCTCCTAGCAGGCTAGGCTGACGGAAAACAACGCACACGACACTTTCACAGCGCAGCCTGGAGAGTCCTAACACACTCACAGTAAGGCTTAAGGGTGGCAGTTATATGCTAACATAAGACGGGGATATGAACACTGAAGTCATGAAGCTAACTAATGTTACCTGCTGCTCGAATCTCGCTGCTAGCGCTAAGGCTAATCTCGGTCAGTATTTCCCTCAGGCGGCGGTTCTCTTGCTTAGTTCGCTCTATCTCTTCCTGGTACTCAGAAACTGTGTCTTTAACTGCTTCAAATATCTCTCCAGCGACTGACATTAACCGCTCGATAAAAAAAGAATTCAAGTGCTCCATTCTAGTCATTTTAAAGAGACTGTCAAGTTTTTGAGTGCCGTAGTTGTTGATAAAGTTGCGGGTGGGCTCTCGTGAAGCATTCTTCTTCCTCGGTTTTACCAACAGCAGGAAAAACAGGTCTATACTGACATCTACCGTACTGTACACAGGGTTGCATATTAGCACATTTGGCCTTGAGTGGCACGTTAGTTCGTCGATGCATGTCCGCTCACCTACTCAACCACCTTTCTCTGTCAGTCATGTATCTCCTATATGTTAAAGGTGCCACAGAACGCATTTACTCAGCATTTTAAATTGTTCTCTGATGTCTACATTGAAGGTATGTGAGCTTTTCACATGTGGAAAAAAAAAAAAATAATAAAAAAAAAAAACAGGGCAACCCTACGGTTTGGCCAGAGGCGGTTCACGAGGAGCCAGAACTCTTCCTATTTCCACTGTTCTATCAAAATGAACTGCAAAACAGCAGACGGCGCCCGCGAGTGAGTCCTCAATGAATGGGAGTAAATGGAGCTAAAAGGCAAAAACGAAAAGTTAGAATAGCTTCTAATCACTTGCCCGGAAGCTTTCCTTTATTTTTAGAAAGTAGAAGGATGTATTTCACTAAAAAAGCAAAGAAAACATACCTGTATATTTCCTTTTTTTCTACAGCAAAAGGGTTTTGGGTAGCAGGACATAGCATTATTGCTACTGTGTGCTGATTGGTTGGCTAGCGGAGCAGCTCATTGGCTGTTTGTGCTCACTGACATCATAAACCTACATGAGGCACCGATTTAAACTCCTATAACTGGAGCTCAAAAACTCTTAAAATATAACCATGGTGTTAAAATGTTTTATGCTATCCAGTGTTCAGGAAATGTATTCTTTTACATAAAAATGTTATGTAAGTATTTATAAACTATGATTTTGCTCAAATGCTCTCTCTTAACCCATTCATTTTGGGCTCGCTCAGTAACACCCTCTAGAGTTTGAGAAACCCGGAAGACATTACAGAGTGGTAATTCTCCTCACAACAAGTTCTCTGGTTTGGCCCTAGAATGAAACAAGCTGTTATCCCTGTAATGGAGGCTCATAAATAATACTAGCTACTTGCTTTCGATATCAACAACTACATAAAGTAAATTAAAGTTGTTAGCTCACTATGAAATGTTCAATTTAAAGAGTGGATAAAATCACACAGTATCACACAGGTTGCTGGAGTTTACCTTTTCTTTTTTTCTAGGCAAGGGAGAACAACGCCTTGACAACCACCAGATGCATCATTGAGAGGACCATTAGGTAGCTCAAACGTAGGTTCCACTGTCCCCACAGTGAATTATGTGTGGAGCCACCAAGGGCCAGCAGTATTAGTAGTGCTTGTGTGGTGCTTTTTAACATGTCAAAGAGGTTTCCTGCCTTTGAAGAAGAAGAAACAAAATGATGGATATATCATCAAAGATGCCATTGTCAGTGCATTGTTTTGTAACCTAGAGAGAGCAAAACATTGTTATTATTATAATTGAATAATAATAACTAATAATTCTTACTTTTGTTATTATTATTACTAATTATTATTATTATAATAATTGAATAACAGTGAATGTTATTATTATAACTGACAGCTGTCAAGTTATATGTTCTTTATTTATTGTTATTATTATTTCTATTATTACTTGATTGCTTATTTATTATTCATAGTCCGCTGAAGCCTTCTGTCTTTCCCACGGCTTTAACTGCTTAAGTACCAGCTGCTGAAAAACGTCTCTATACTGAGAGAGATATCCCATCCTTGCTGTCCTGATTACACTTCCTTGCAAATGACCTGCCAGTGTTCTTTAGTTTCCTACAGATCTATAGATTCTTTTTTTTATCTCCATCTCTGTTTTCTCCCTTACAAGACTGTGGTGCCTTTCTGTCCTAACAGATGGGCATCGGCTCTTTGCATGTCCACTGTCTTTTTCCAAAGTGCTGAGTCGTTCTTCTCATCCGGGTCACCACGCTCATCTCCTTTTCCTTTGTTGAAACCTCAAGGATGTGGTCCACTTCCTTCATGGACTCATCGAATACCTGCTGAGCTTCATTTAAATGTACAATCAGTTCCATCATGAAACAGCCCCAAATGTTAATTCAACAGATACACACACAGACACAAGTACAACAGAGAAAAGTTCATCATCTGCAGCTTATAGTTATAAATTCATCATGACGTCACCACACATATAAACCAATGTTACAGATATGTTACTCAGAAAAAGTACCAGTCAGTACAGTATGTGTAGTAAGGCATAACTTTTTCTGAGTAACATTATATATGGAACAGTTGTTTCTATGTGTGGTGACGTCAAAACTGAACTGCAGAGGCTGAAATTTTCTGTTGTACTTGTGTCTGTGTGTGTATCTATTACCATTGTGAGTGTTTCACGACGGAACTGATTTAATGTTTAAATGAAGCTCAGCAGGTATTAAATGAGGCAACAATTTCTGAGTCCCCCTCACCCCGAGACCAATTCCAAATGAGGTCGAGACTGAGACGAGACCGAGGCCACTAGTTTATGGTCTTGAGGCCAAGACCGAACTCGAATACCACACTTGTTCTTTGTGTGGTGAAATGGTTCTTCAGATTGATAGACAATGTGTTGTATATGAAAATGGTTTTGAAAATGGTTCTATATAGCACTGAAAAGGGAACCCTTTTTGTTGCTATATGGAACCATTTTCAAAAACATTTAACATGTTTTTCTTTCTTTATTTTATTATTTATTTTTGGTAATTGCCAAAATGCCCCCCCACCCCTCAAATAAGACAACAGTGCTTGCCGAAGGGATAACTAGTGCAAGTCACTTTATTAGAAGACTCAAACACTCCCAGCAAATTGTGCAATCCGGGACTCTCTACAACCAAGCAGTGGTACTTCAGTTTCGTCCAAGGTAGGCTAACCAAACCAGTTTTTCCAGAGAGCTTCATAATGGAGATTTTTTTTTAAGATTAATATTACCATGCATGTCATGACACCCCTAGTGTACATGCAACCAAATCAGTACAGAACTTTATAAAGGTGTAATCCTATAATCCACTATGTCAATCCACGATCCAATGAATGCAGCCAATGGCACCCCGACACAAAATAAAAACATCACTCATCTCCGATCTTACTGCTTGTTATGTTTATTGTTACTTAGCCTGATGATGGTTACGAACATGTTTCTTCACTTGACTTGACTGAATGAACCGCTTCCCACAAACTGAACAGCTAAAAGGTCTTTCGCCAGTGTGAATTCTCTCATGGTCATTCAGGTGACCTCTCTGTTTGAAACATCTCCCACAAAACCTACAGTTGTATGGTCTCTCTCCTGTATGAGTTCTACGGTGGTTTTCAAGTACTTGTGCATAACTGTAGCTCTTCCCACACAGGTCACAGCGATATGGTCTCGGTCTGTTTTTCTGATGCACGACCTGATGTTGTTTCAGCTGTCTATGACTTCTAAAAGGCTTTCCACAATGCTTGCAGCCAAAAAAATCTTCAGCAGTCTGGCTCTGAACACGAGCTTCAGCTTGAGAAAAATGATCACATAATGTCTTGCATCGGGAAGGATGGTTACCTTGATCATCTCTTAAGCCTTCCCAGTGATTCTTAGTAATATTTTCTCTTTGCATCAAAGATGGTGCATCATCAAAGAAGATGACTTGGGAGTCCAGTGGCTCCAATTCGATTGTGGATCCTGTGTTATGTGGGCCATCATCAGCTTTTTCTTCCTTTATGGTCACTCCTAAGCAATTATGTAGTGGGTCTTTGGTATTCGCAGTCTCTGCTGAGGGAGAAGAGGATGAGGTTGGATTGTTTAGTGGCCCCTGTGGTTCAGCATCCTGATGCATGGTGGAAAGCTCCACCTTTACTTGTATAAATGAAGACTTTGAGTCCAGTGATTCTTGGCTGAAGTTTGGTAGCTCCTGCGGAACTGCATGACTTGACTGATCACCTGTAGGGATTGTGCATACAAAAAAACTGAATTTATAAAAGCCTCAAATTATTGCCTGTAAACATTAAGTGTAAGTGCAAGCACAAACCTTGCAATCAGACAATGTGTTTGCATGATTTTCTATGTGTGATGTAAGTAAGACAATTCAGTGAGGACAAACTCCTCAACATAGGCAGATTTTTCACAAGGTGAAGGATAGATACACTGTTCAGTGCTGGCTGTGGCTCACCTTCTTGCTTCATAGTAGCAACCTCCAGCTTTAGCTGTAGTACTGAGGGATCGGAGTCTAATGGTCCTTGGTTGGAGTTCTGCTGAAGTGGAGCTCCATCAGCATGACTGAGCTGTACATCTGAGGTAAATGCAGAAAAAGACAAAATGCGAGTTTACAGAGATACAAATGGACAGATGAAACAAAAGGAATGAAACCTGACAATGCTTTAGGTGGAGATGCACAGAATTAGAATGATATGAATTATATCAGTATCTGCAGATATTTGCTTTAAAAAATAATGTGTAAATTTGGCCAACATTTGTATTTTCTGTACTCTGGAAGAATGTTAGGCAATGCTGGGCCACTGTGATAAAATGTCTCCATTTTATTCATTTCAACCCTCTACAAATAGGATATATATATATATATATATATATATATATATATATATATATATATATATATATATATATATATGTATACACACACACACACACACACACACACTGGGTATTGGCCCACATTTCCTATATCGTTTTAGGCAGTAAATATAAACAGTAAATGGAAATTTTATTTATGTATTTATATCCTTTTACATATTTATAACAGAGAAAAATACTTTCAGATATCATAATTTCTGCATATTTCTGCAATTTATCAGATATCATAAATTCTGCATATTGCAATTCTGCAATATGCAATATGCAATTATTCTATCTATTGTCTGGGAGGCCTCATTCATAAGTCATGTAAGGCCCTTGAGCCACCAGGGCCCCCTGACTATATACAGGTGTCCCAAAAAAAACTGACATCATTTCATAGTCTAATAATATAGCCAATTCTCCCTCAAATAATCTCTAAATTTTAACAAAATGTGTAAAAACTAACCAAGTATAATTTTTTTTTTTTCCAGGTTGAAGAACGGCGTTCACTAGAAATGAAAAAGCATTTTGTGTGTTAGAATATGCTCGAACACAGCCAAACAAGAGTGTGCAGCATGCATTTTTGAGAAAATTCAATAAAAATGCACCAACTGGAAAGCAGATTTGGATTCAAAGTTCCTCTTTGAATCCAAATCTGCTTTCCGGTTGGTGCATTTTTATCGAATTTATGTATTATTCAATTTTTATTTAATTTATTGCTGTCTGTGCAGGGCAAAGGGATCTGGACGACCACCAGTATCAGAAAATATTACATTTGTGAAGCTTTGTGAAGTCGGTTATAAAATCTACATCCCTCTGAATTTTTGATACATTTAATAATAATTTAATAATTTATTTTTTTTGATAAATAAATCTTGTATTGTTCAACATGAAGCCTATTTAATTAGGTTTGCCTAGAACATGTAGTCCCTCAGATATTCACATCTCAAATGATGTCATTTTTTTGGGACAGCCTGTATTTTATTTTTCCAAACAGTGAATCCTGAGATCTACTTTGTTTCTTTTAGTATTAATCGAGAATATGACTGGGATGGGTGTTCAGAAACGGCCCTGTGTTGAGCCGATGCTCTATTACTAAATTAAGCAAGGACCCCATAATCAAACTGCTCGCTGACGTTGGTTTACTTTAGGCTCTCACGCCTCCTCAGCCCTAACTGGGAAGCGGAGTATACACAGAGTAGCACCGACAGTCCTAATGCACTCATAACAAGACTAATGCACTCTTAACAGTAACGTTACCATCATAAATAACAATAAATAAGAACGTAAATTAATAAACACTAACCTGCTGAACTCGGTGTTCGCTGCTCGCTGCTGGCACTACTGTTACTGTTGATCTCGGTCAGAATCTCCCTCAGGCGGCGGTTCTCTCGCTTAGTTCGCTCTATCTCCACCTGATACTCCGAGACTGTGTCTTGAACGGCTTCAAATATCTCTGCAGCGACTGACATTAACCGCTCGATAAAAAAGGAATTCAAGTGCTCCATTCTAGTCATTTTAAAGATGCTGGTTACACTTCCACAGTTCAACAAATCCCGACGCGCTCCTCTTCTTCAGTGTTGCCCACGGCAGGAAAAACAACTTTAAGGCACAAACTGCCACCTAGTGTAGAAAGGTATCTATTTGCTTAGTGAGTTGAAGTGTACTACTATTTAAAAATATTAATATTTTAGCTATTAGCAGAAATTCAGCGGATTTGGTTAGTTTATACTGTAATGAAATATGGCAACTTTTCTCTGCTGGAAAAAAAGACCATTAGAACCATTAGGATTAAAATAAGCCATTAGGATGCCCAGGAAAGTTGATATTCTAGGCCTTTTACTTTGATTTCCCTTTTTTAAAAAGGTTAGAAAAAGTTTTGCTTATTTTAAGTATAATAATAATATTTTAAGCTATAAACTTATGTCCCAACATTTGTGCAACCCTGTCAGCAAAACCTGTTAACTATTATTTATTCAAAGCAGTGGTGCTTGTTTACTCATTATTTAGTTTCTCTCAGTGTATGATCTTAAAGGGCATCCTGGCCTAACACTAGCATTTATAGCTATTTAATGCTAAATGTAGGCTGGGATGCCCTTTGTCAGACTGATGAGGTCGAGGAAGCGCTGATGTACAGAGGAATATTACATAACATGACACATAACCTTCAATCACCACAGAATTCACGATTTTATGTCTTTTTCGTATTTTCATCCAGGAGTGAGTGTGTTAACATGCACGTAACAATCTGATAACTACAGAAAATCAGATTTGATCAGTAATTAGTTCAATGCGTTTTTTATTTATTTATTGATTTGTTTGTTTTTATATTCTAGATAATAGGAAACTTAGGGTCGACATGAGTCAGGCAGTAATCGGATTTCCTCTTTGTAACCGGCCAGTAAACTCACAGATTAAGAAGTGACGTAAGCATAATGCAAACCCGTCTTGTTACCAGAGAACTTGTAGAGAGGAGATTTACCGCTCTGTAATGTCTTTGGGGTTTCTCAAACACTAGAGGGCGCTCTGAGTCCAAAATGAATTGGTTAAGATGGAGCAACAAAATCATAGATTATAAATGCTTAAGCATTTTTAATGTAAAGGAATACATTCATCTCCTGAACACAGAACAGCATAAAACATTTCAAAACCACTGTTATATTTTTAAGAGCCTTTAAACTTGATTTAGAGGAGTTTAAAATGGCACCTCATGTAAATCCATGACATGCATGCTCGCCAACCAATCAGCACTCAGTAGCAGCAATGCTAGCGTCCTGCTGCCCAAAACCCGATTGCTATAGAAAAAAGGAAACATACAGGTAAGTTTTCTTTGCTTTTTTAGTGCAATACATCCTCCTACTTTCTAAAACTTGATGGAACAATCTAGGCGAGACTTTTTAACTTTTTGTTTTTAGCCTTTTAGCTCCATTCTCCCTCATTCTCTTGAGCACTTGCTTGCGGGCGCCCTCTGGTGTTTTGCCGTCCTGTTTTTGATATAACGGGGGAAATAGGAAGAGGTCAGGCTCCTAATTAACCGACTCTGGTTAAACGCTGCTTGCTATTTCCAGGACAGCGCTCTGTTTTTGCACATGTGCAGACTGAGAAAAACAAAGGAAATCAGAGTGAGGATTTACAATCACGAGAAACCCAATTACTGAGCTAAAATCCAGCTCTCTTTATCAAAATTCCTCATCAAATTTGAAAAATCAGATAATTGCTGAAATCTGATAATGATCGAACTATTAAGTACATGCTCAGTGTTTTTTTTTACAGTACCCAGCATGCATTATGCAAATGCTGTAGCATTAGCTATCGGGCTTCCTTCTGCATTAGTTAGCTAGCCATGTATGCACCCCACCGTTAATACACATGATTAGAAAGAGATTTTCTTTGTCTTTAAACAGGAAAATCTCATTAATTAGGCTACAATGGCACCACTGTACACTGTCAGAGAAAGGTACTGTGCAGGTACAAACAATGTAAAAGTACCCTCAAAGGTACAACAATGGTTTTAAGGTCCAACTGTGTACCTGAAATAAGTTTTTATGAGGGCAAAGGCACATATTTGTGCATAATCTATCATTTTAAAACAGATCAATGAAATAAAAAGCCCTTTGACAAGACAATAGAAGGTTGGAGTCAATACAATTTTAAAAAATGTGATTGCAGTGGATTATGGTACAGTTATGTTCCCTAACAAAGGTTATTGAAGATGTACCCTTGACGGTACCACTCTAGTGATAAGAGGGATTATCACTGCCTTTTTTCTTTCTTTCTTTGCCCTAATTTTATCCCAATAATGATTCTACAAATCAGCTCCTCACAGATTCCTGACAGTCTGGAATTGCTATTATATAAATTCATTTTATTTGGGCGGCGGATCATTCTCAGCACTGCAGTAACACTGACGTGGTGGTGGTGTGTTAGTTAGACCAGACACAGCAGTGCTGCTGGAGTTTTTAAACACCTCACTATCACTGCTGGACTGAGAATAGTCCACCAACCAAAGTTATCCAGCCAACAGCGTCCTGTGACCACTGACGAAGGACTAGAGGATGACCAACACAAACTGTGCAGCAGTTGTCAAATAAACATACAATTCCTCACTATTTCTACTCACACTTTCAAGTGAAGATAACTTCAACTATATTCATATCAATTGCCATTTAAAGTTAAGAACAATAATGTTATACAATAGTTTCTATAAAGATTTTTTTCTCCTGTTGACTAATAATGGCATGTTTGCCACTTTCTTTAAACTTCACACTGAAGTAACTTACAAATTCTCTGTTCAAAACTGTACAATTTATTTGAACAAGAACAATGTTACACAAACTTTCACATTGGCTCTATGTACATTTTCAAATATAGTGTCTTCATCTAATGCAGACAATGGAGAAGTGGAGGTTGAAGGGATGTGAGAAAGCAGTTAAAATTAGGAAGATACACCAAAACATTAACAAAGCTCACTGCCACTTGGGAATGCATTCCTGGTAGAAAAACAGATTATAAAAAAAGCTTTTTATAAATAAAACTGCCTAATCATCCATTTTATCACAATACTATACAGGTTTCTCCAGTGTTTTACAGAACTGGGGGAAATGGAGATGACAGAGTGACAAAGGTATAGAAAAAGTAAGAGACGGGGAGAAAGAGGCAAATGGAGAGATGTAACGAGTGTGAGTGGGATAGAAAGAATAAGAAAGGAGACAGACAGAAGGAGGGAGACAAAGATAGTGATAAGAAGGGATATTGCATGTACAATGACAAAACATAACTGCTTGTCAGCTACTTTAAACTTAAGGTGTACTCTTTATGAACAAGTTGACATAACTTTTTGACCTCTGAATGGTCTGCATAATACTTGGTCGCTGACTGATGTTATGAATACACTGAACTTAACCCATGTAAGAAACACTTTCTACAAGTAAAAATAACAAGCATGTGTAATGTTTTTGCCTCTAAACAATTCTCAACAGTTTTCCTCCATGTAAACATTTGAAGTGTTAATATAACTCTTGACATTCAGCCTTGTTCTAAGAGCAGCTCCATGTCATGTTTCTGCCTCTAGCTAAACAATTCTTTAACAATATTTTGTCTATACAGAGTTGCTGTGCAAAAGCAATGCTGAACAGTGCAGATTAACATTAACATTGTTAAGATTAACATTAATGTTTCCTCTCAGACTCCACAAAGTAGTTTACTTTTATGTATTAACTTCCTTGTTGTCAAAACAAGTCTCAACATTTATATTTCTGATATTTTACATTTGACATGGTCTGCAAGATCAATTTTGTACAGTGTTGTATAGCTAAGATGTCCTCCAAAGGCTTGAGATGTACTAAACAAGTGTATACTGTTTTCCACCTGACTATCTTTCCAACATTTGGTCCACATATCACTTTCTTTGGGGATGCAATGTTAAACACAGCAGAGTAAGTTTCCTCCCAGTTAAGTGTTGAGAGATGTGCAGTTGTAAGTCCATAAACAATACCTCAGCAGTTTGATCCTAAGGCCATGTATCCCAGCTGAACAGTGGTCAGGTTTTATCTTCATGATGACCCTCTGCAGGAATTCAAATGAGTACTTCATTTTGCGAGGGTACTCCAGATTAAGGCAGTAGATGGTTCCCATTAGCATAGCAAAACCAGTGGGCACGTCTCTGAGTTCATGAAGAACGATCGTCTCCTCTACCACCACGGCCATGTTGAAGATTTCATGAGGAAAAGCATCATGTAAGGCACCTTCATGTCCAATCAGAAGTCCAATGCGCATTCCCTTGATGAGGAAGTCCAGGTTTCCTCCATGAACCTAAAACAAATGCACAGATTTAGTCATCATTTACATTGCATGTTACATACAGTTGGTCAAGATATGGACACTAAAATGACTTTGAAAAGAGCTGAAATTAATCAGGGTCAATTTGGTGTTAAGCTTATTATTCATAATTTGGACTGCCAGAAGAAGGGGGAAAATTACAATGATCAACTCAGAATTTGCATATTATTGTGTACCATTACCATTTAACTGGTGTGTTGTTTATTATTATGAATAATTATATTACTGCTATAATTACTATATTCCAATCAGATGCTCTTTCAGCAATCTGTATTATCATAAATTCTCTTGAAAAATTTGCCATCACTAGTTAACTTCGAAATTTTTTGAAAAAGAAAGATTTGAAGTGCTTTAAGGGTTTAGTAAAGAAAATAGTTCTACATAGAACCATGAACACTCAAAGAACCATTTGCATGCTTAAAGGGCTCTTTTCATCATGAAAAAATTCTTCAGAGAATCATTCTTCATTGCTTGCAGCCCCATTAAGAACAGAACTAGAAGATGAATTAAACATGACCGTCACACATACACTTTATAACATGTAATGCAGAATCTAAAAAGGGCACAACGTTTTTCACATGTGAAAACAAGCAGTGCATAAGACAGTGAGAACAGCTGTGGTAGAGAGAGCGCGCTACAGAATGAATAAAGAGTAAATGGGATAAATAAAACTGTATTTTGGGATTTTTCCATGGCAGTTACGTCCTAAAAAAGAAATACAAATCCTGAAAC